ATGTTAAGTTTTAGATGCCCAGGAGACATCTAAGTAGACACGGCATGCAGGCGGCTGGCTATAGTCTGCAGTGGAAGAAAGACGGCTGGAGATACACACTGAGAAAATATCAACATCTAAGTATTTAAAATAGTAAGATTGGATGAAATCACCAAGGGAAGGAAGATGGGCAGAAAGATGGGAAGAAAAGAGATCTCAGGACTAAGGTGACAACATGTAAAAAGTGAAGTGGTGAGGAAAAGCCAACAAAGGGAACTGAAGAGTGGTCAAGGTGGAAGAGAGTGGGGAAGGCCAAGAGCGTGATCCTCAGCATCCACTACTACTGGTAGCTCAAATAAAATGAGGGCTGAGAATTGGTCACTGGAATTATCAACATGCACACTTCTCTGGTGACCTTGATAAGAGTATTTCAGTGACGTGATGGAGGCAGTGCTTCTGGTGAGCACAGGCTTAAAAAAGATTTCTATACCAATGCTCGTAATGGCTCCAGACTGGAAACAACCCAAATGTTCACCAGTAGGTGAATGGACTATTGACAAAAACAAACTTGATGAATCTCAAAAAACACTATGCTGAAAGACAGAAGTGAAAGAGTACATACGATATGACCCCCCCTTACATGAAGTTCTAAAACAAGCAAAACAAATTTATCTTGATGGCAATCAGGATAGTTTTTGCCTGGAAGAGGGAGTGGGGATACATGTTGACTGCAAAGTAGCAAAGGAAAACCTTCTGGTGTCAAAGAAGTGTTCTAAATATTAACAGGGGTGTTGAGTATATGCATAAACTTGCCAAGTTGTTATACTGTACACGTAATGTGTGCATTTTATTTTATATAAATTATACCTCAATACAGTTGTTCAAAAAATGGAAAGCAAGGCAACAGAGACCATGAACATGGACAACTCTTTGAGTGGTCTCAATGTAAAAGAAAAACTAGAAATGTGGCAATAGCAGAGGGAAAAGTGGGGTTAAAATTTTTTTCACCATAGCGGTACCTGGGTGGCTCAGTCAGCTAAGTGTCCCACTCTTGATCTCAGCTCAGGTCTTGATCTCAGGGTCATAAGTTCAAGCCCTGTGTTGGGCTCCACATCCAGCATGGAGTCTACTTAAAAAAAAATTACCATGGGTGAAATAATGGCCTATTTGTATATTACCTTGAAAATAGTAGAGGGAAAATTTGATGATACAGAGAGACATGCTGAAGCAATTATCTTTGAACTACTCAGAGAAGGAGATGTGGGACACAGGGAGAGAAGCTAGCTTTGGCTAGAAGCAGTGGACGTCCACTTAGTGGGGAGGCAGTATACAGGCATAAAAATTGGCAGGGCATGTGGTATGGAAACCTGTGGAAGTTCTCAGATTCATTCTATTTTTCCTGATAAAATAAGAAACAAGGACTTCACCTGAAAGAATGAGGGAGGAGGTTCTATAGGCTGGAGGAGAGAAGTGTAAAATAGTCATTGAAGAGACTGTGAGAAAAACAGACCAGAAAATAAGGAATGACTTCTGGACACTGGAGATTAGGAGTCATAAATTAAGACCAGACCATCAGTATGGTTGAGTGCCTTCCTCCAGCCTTACTGAGCTTCATATGTGCAGTCATGGGTTTGAACTAGAAGCAGAATTGTGGTTTAGCTGAGTACAGAAAAGTGAAAGAAGAGGTGAAGAAGTAGCAGCGATATGAAAGGGGGGTGATTATAATGATGGACTAGATTTTAAACTGATCCAAGAGGGAAGCGTAAACAGGAAGGGGTGAGGGACAGATGACATGTGGTATGAATGAGTGGATTTTGCTCAGTGGAGTTGAAGGACTGCTGGAATTGGATCACAAAAGAGTGTGAGCTGAAAACAGAGGGAGTTAGAATGATACTTAATGTTGAGATTTACACAGGAGTTTTGAGTTCTGGGTATGGCCAGTTCTACAGGATGACTACAGGACTGGCTGAATTTAGGAAAAGAGTAAGATCACTGGATGAGGTCAATGAGCTAAAAGGTCAGGGTATAAAAGGATCATTCACATGAAATCTTAAACTCACTGATTAGGCAGGAGCAGTGTGGGGCAGTGGTGGCAGTTAAAACTTCAAGGAATGCAAAATTAATCTGGAGGTGGAGAGTTTGTGTTACAGTCTTGTTGACAGAAGATAAAGATGGGACTCTGAAGTCCTTCCTACTTTGGAGAGAATGGTCCCTAACTGGCAACCAAAAGCAGGCAAGTCATCTAATGCACACCCAAGTCTAGGGAGATAAGTGGTGTGGAAGAGGACAGTCACTATTTAAGAGGTCTTCAGGGGAAGCAATATCCTCAGGAGGGCAAGGGATTTCAAAGAGAAAAGAGGAGACATACAGAACTGCACAGGGATATGAGCCTGGGATGCAGAACAAGCGGGAGGCTGGGGTTTCATCTTCCTTTACTATTTAAGTTACTGTTATCTTAATTTTAAAAAATTACAATGAACTCAATGATAAGACTATTTTTACAATATATTTAGTTATACTCTAGAGCTAAATGAATGCTAACTACTCCACATTAGTCAAGATGTTGAGGCACTATATGAAAACCGTTTCTTTGGTAGGCTTTTTTTTTTTTTTAACACTGAAAACTTTATTGGAAAAGACAAGTGAATTGCTAAGATACTTTAAAAGTACGGGGCGCCTGGGTGGCTCAGTGGATTAAAGCCTCTGCCTTCGGCTCAGGTCATGATCTCAGGGTCCTGGGATCGAGCCCCGCATCGGGCTCTCTGCTCAGCAGGGAGCCTGCTTCCCTCTCTCTCTCTGTCTGCCTCTCTGCCTACTTGTGATCTCTGTCTGTCAAATAAATAAATAAAAATCTTTAAAAAAAAAAAAGTACTTTGCTTATTTATCATTTCGCTTGGAAAAATTTACCCTAACTTTATAGTAAGGAAACAAACACAAAATCATTAAAAATACATGAGCCTCCAAGGCTTGATAGCTGGGCAGGGTCTTTACATAGCTTCCCATGGGGCCTAGTGATTAGACACCACATTCTAGAGTGAGAACCAAGCAAGGCAGGCATTGGGAGCCTCAAGGCATGTTGAAAAGTGCTGATATAAAGCAATTTCCCCAACTGTCTCTCCTAATGTTGGCAGTTGGTTTTGGGTCCAGAGCCCTCTTAGAAACCCAGAGGTTAGTGAGATTCACAGAAGTCCTTCATTAGTTTAGTTTGTAGCTCGTGGGTGAGGTTCAACCATCTCTAACTTTGAAAAAGTTGTTTGTTACCTCTCTGTCTCATTAAAACTGTCTAACTGAAATTGATAACCAGCTACAAAGTTTTAGTGTACTAATTTCCTTTGCACAGGACACTGTTGCAATTCCAAACACGTCTCAAGTATGTAAATATTATATATATGTATTTTATTTATTTATTTATTTAAGATTTTTTAAATTTTATTTATTTGACAGACAGAGATCACAAGTAGACAGAGAGGCAGGCAAAGAGAGAGGAAGGGAAGCAGGCTCCCTGCTTCACAGAGAGCCCGATGTGGGGCTCGATCCCAGGACCCTGGGATCATGACCTGAGCCGAAGGCAGAGGCTTTAACCCGCTGAGCCACCCAGGCGCCCCAATATTATATATATGTATTTTAAATTAGGGTGAAGTCTTGGTTAATCCTCTAAGTTTCATAAATGAAGTACATCTGGTTGCTTAGCTTCAAGTTTATATAAAAACTACAGTGTTTGTAATGTGTTCTATTAGGTGTATATTCTCTGCCACTGCCGTTAACGAACCTTGTGAAGAAAGTCTACGTACACTATTAGCTATCTCTGCTCCAGTAAAACTTTATCAAAATGGACCATGGGGTAGATCTGGCCCCAGGCCATAGTCTGCCAACCCACTGTAGGCAATGCTTGGCCTCAGCTATCTCACTGACCTTGCCTTTCATCACAGATTCAAATTCCATGACAGCAGGGTAGATTTAATACTGTTTTTGAGATATTCGTCACAGAAAAATCTGAATCCCTAGATGTTCTGGATCTATGTACAGCTTAAAGGATCATTTCTGGCATGACTGGGAGGAGCTAAATGATACATGATCCTGTTTTAATCTTTCTTATTCTAAGTTTTTAGCGGTACTGTCAGCAAGCTCGCTCCACCTGATAGCGGACTGCACACCTCAGCTCGCTAACTTCACACAATACATTTTAGATATTCTACTTTAAAAAGAGAGAAAGGTAGGTTAATGGAAAACACAGGCAGACCAGATTGGTTAACCTAGATTAAGTGGTAAGAAGCAAATAACCCTACAGGACCAGAATTACTTGCCCTCCTTTTCAAACAGGGGTTATTTCAAAGGGAAATGACAGCTCCCTCATTTATAATGCGTTATAAATTTATAATGTGCTAGCAGTTGGGGCTCCTTACTGGACTACTTTGTGCAATGCTGTCCACCCTCAAGAGTTGTTTTGTTGAAACACTCCTTCCAAAATGCTCTGTTCAAAAATTACTCTTTGACTGAATAGAGATGACTAGTTGGATGAATCCTATACATTACAATATAACAATGTTAATCTTCACAAAGAAAAATAGGAGGAAAAATGTATTTTCTTAATGGAAATGAAACAAAATCCTTGGGACAGAGTAGTTTGCTATCCCTAAATGTGCATTGGTCACAGCATGAAAGGACAGTGCATTTATCACCGTCAGGGGCTATGAAGTTTTAATTGTTTGTACCAGCTTAACAGCTGAAATTCCAATCAAAGAGCTAACATTTGGACTCTCATGGTCTCATAAAATGTTTAGGTACACACATTAGAATGTTTTGGCCTGCAAAGGCAAACAGAGACCTACCAACTATCGTTGGCCTATTTATAACCAGGAGAAAATCAAAAGAGCCACTGGATGAAAATCTAGGCACATCAAACAAGAGTTTTCAAAAAAAATCTTTTATGAGAAATGCTTTTTTAAATAGTTGAAAAATTTGTTACTCACTTACATGAAGGAAAAATAAGGCAAAAAAATTATGCAGTATTTGGTTACTTTAAAAATCCATTAAATCTTTTTACAGGGCTTCCTTATTTTTATCACTCTACTATACCCAAATTTGTACCTGAAGTCTTTCCAGACAAAATTTAAAGTACTTTGAGCTAAATTATCAGCACCACACATTTCTAATAATGTTCTAAATTCAAAAACAAGCTGGCCGGTTTAACCCCGTGAAAACAGAAATTACGCTTATAGAAGAAGCCAAGACTTAAAAGACTATGATCTGAAATACATCATTTGAAGGGGTTAATTTTGCCATTACTAGTAGTCCAGTTCCCTAAGACCAAAAGACAATTTTTAAAAGAATTTTGCTATATTAATTTCTGTCAAAATATTCCCACCCATTCATGTACTTAAGGGCACTATTTGATGAGGGAACAATTCCCAAATGAATCTAATGTAGACAGCACATACACTGTGGAAGGGATCCTTGACTGACTAATGATACTATCACGTAGCATTTAATGGATGTCTTCTATGTGTCAGGCACTGATTGAAGTAGCTGGAATGTATTAACTCATGAACTGGTGTATTCATAAAGGGAGAGAGAGGTGAAGGAACAGGACTACGATCCAGTAAGAGCCTACACCTAGGCACCGACCCCAGAACTCATGCGGCTCAACACCACGCCATGCTGCCTTGTGTAGGTCTTATTTTGAAAAAGAACCAGCTGTCAAACTGAAAAAAGTGTATGAGCCAGCTGTCCTTAAATCCCCATTTTCTTAAAGATGATTCCTTTGATAAGACTTTTTTAAATACTTCTGATCTTATAAAAGGCTTTAGTATGTTAAAACATTTTATAATGTTAATGGTTGTTGTACACATTTTATTGAATGTTTTCTATTCTGCCTTTCAAATTGAGTCAATAACTGTAAACAACACAACTGTAAGTAGATTAACAGTTACATGTTTAACTTTGCATGTAAATCTCGTTTGAAAAAGATATATTAGTACTTATTTTTAAAATAAGTACTTATTTTTCCCGACCTTTAAAGACTTGTATGAAACCTAGGATAAACACATTGAAATTAGATTTCCTGGGCAGTACTAGAAAACTGGCGAAATAACATCTGCAAAGATGAGAAGTTCAGAACTAGAGGGTAATCAACTAAGCTGTCTTTCAAATATGATTTGTGTGATGTTCTTTTCCATATTTTAGTCCCTCCCACTTGCTCTTTATTTATACTCTAATATTCTACCAAATAATACAATTAAAAACTACTCCTCAGAGTAGAAATCTGCAATAAAATGTACAATAGTTTGTATATAGTTACTAGTTTAATAAAACATTACCCAAATAACTAATCAGTTACTAGTGTTTAAAATTTATAGTAAGAAACATTAAAAACAACAAAAGACTACTTCTTTTCAAATTTAGGCCTATTTAAATATTTTCAGTATAGCTAAACTCAGTGTAATGGTTACATTCGTAAAATCTTGCTGAACAGACTTCCAAGACTGTGATAATAATATAGGTGGTCCACTAGGAACTGATGTTCCCTTCCTTAGCTGAATTATATGAGATTCCAACCACATGTCTCTCATCTTCAGTAGACTCATTAGGAAAGATCCATCAGCAACATGCTCACATAAAACCCCCTCTTTCCACTCCTACCCATAACCCACCCCTATACTAAAAACTGCAAGTTAGTTGTGCTTTCATAGCCTTTTCACTGGAGACCGTAAGTTTGAGTTGAATTATTCAATGTGAGGGTCACAATGAGAGAACGTGGATCCTTCTTATTCTTGTGGACTGTGATCCTTCCTTTCAAGGCTTCACCTATGGAAGAGAGGCAAAAGATGTGTTTAAGAATTCAAGGAATACAGTATGGCAGGGAAATAATAATGTATATCTAGTACTTCTTGCTTATCATTGTGAGACAGTTCACTCATTTTGGAAAAAAATTAATAAATTTTTAGGACAATTTTATGTTTAATTTTTGAACAAAGCAGATCTAAAAAAATGAAAAAAATTAAAATTAATTTAAAACATAACTGAATATTTAAAGCATGAATAACAACAATGTATTGGGAGATAATCCATGTATAGCACCATCTGGGGAAGTGAAATTTTTCTAACAATTGCTCAAAGGATTGGAGGGGGTAAATGGAAGTAAATTACTGAGAGTCTTAAGTTATAAATGAAATGGCATACCAATGTTTGATGGTAGTCTGGTAAGCTAAAAAGGCATGCTGGAACTCTCGAGCAACAATTACAAAAACAAACCCAACACATATAGTTAATTAGCCAAGAGTGGAGATAAAATGAAATAATAAAGAGTATTCAATCAAAAAAAAAAAGTAGGGGCACCTGGGTGGCTCAGTGGGTTAAAGCCTCTGCCTTTGGCTCAGGTCATGATCCCAGGGTCCTGGGATTGAGCCCCACTTCGGGCTCTCTGCCTAGCGGGGAGGCTGCTTCCTCCTCTCTCTCTCTCTGCCTGCCTCTCTGCCTACTTGTGATCTCTGTCTGTCAAATAAATAAATAAAATCTTAAAAAAAAAGTAACAAGGAAAAAAGCAAGAAATAACAGGGATACAGGAAAAAAAAAGCTAATGACAGAATTAAATCTAGTATCACCGATACTAATATTAACTGTAATATGTTTAATACTTTGAATGTAGAGACAGCATCAAAGTAAAAGGAAGGAGAGCTATTCTATATAATATTCTATATAATGTAACGCTATATTAATCAGAGAGTCTGAAATGGCAGTATTAACGTCAGACAAAAATGACTTCAGGAAAAAATATACAACCAGAGATAAAGAAACACATTTCAAAATAATCATCCAAATCATAGAGACCTAATGACTTTTATGTATGACTATATGACTACAGAGCTTTAAAATGCATGATGCAAATCTGACAGAACCACAGGAAGACACATATAATCCACAATTATCACCGGAAATTTCACCTCTCCTCTGTCAATAATTGCAATAACAACTAGACAGAAAACCAGAAAGAATATGGAAGATTTAACACACTATTAACCAACTTGACCTGGTTGACATCTACAGAACCAAGACAGATTACATCTACATATGCTGGCTCATAAAACAGATCTTAATACACTTAAACATAAAGAAATCATACAGAATATGTTCTCTGACCAAAACTGAATAAAATTAAAAATAAACAGAAAGAGGGCACCTGGGTGGCTCAGTGGGTTAAGCCGCTGCCTTCGGCTCAGGTCATGATCTCAGGGTCCTGGGATCGAGTCCCACATCGGGCTCTCTGCTCGGCAGGGAGCCTGCTTCCCTCTCTCTCTCTCTCTCTCTCTCTCTGCCTGCCTCTCTGCCTACTTGTGATCTGTCCCTGTCAAATAAATAAATAAAATCTTTAAAAAAAAAAAATTAACAGAAAGATACGTGAAGATAACTTGAATAATCCCAAAACATTTAGGAATTAAACAAAAGACTTTTAAATATTCCATAAATAAAAATCACAAGGAAGATACTCAAAGAAAAGTAACTTGAGGCCCCTGGGTGGTTCAGTAGGTTGGGCAGTTGGGCATCTGACTCTTGGTTTCAGTGCCTATTGTAATCTTATGGATAGTGGGATGGAGCCCCCTGTCAGGCTTCACGCTCAGCAGGGAGTCACCTTAACAATTCTCTCTGTACCCCACCAAAATAAATAAATAAATCTTAAAAAAGAAAAAAAAGAAAGGCAATTTATTTTCCTTTTTTTTTTTTTAAAGATTTTATTTATTTATTTGACAGAGACACAGTGAGAGAGGGAGCACAAGCAGAGGGAGTGGGAGAGGGAGAAGCAGGCTTCCTGCTGAGCAGAGAGCCCATGCAGGGCTCCAACCCAGGACGCTGGCATCATAACCTGAGCTGAAGGCAGACGCTTAACCGACTGAGCCACCCAGGCGCCCCAAGAAAGGCAATTTAAAACACTATTACTTTGGGGCACCTGGGTGGCTCAGTGGGTTAAAGCCTCTGCCTTTGGCTCAGGTCATGATCCCAGAGTCCTGGGATCGAGCCGTGCATTGGGCTCTCTGTGCAGTAGGGAGTCTGCTTCCTCCTCTTTCTCTGCCTGCCTCTCTGCCTACTTGTGATCTCTGTCTGTCAAATAAATAAATAAAATCTTTAAAAACAAAAAAACAAACAAAAAAACAAACACTATTACTTCTATTACTTTCACTTCTTAGAATAGCGAATATTTAAAAAAACTGAATTTTGATTTGATTCCTTAGGATGAATGATTAGAGGTGGAATACTTTCAAAAAAGGCATAAAGTATATTCCAGTTTTTAATTCCTGCCATCTTCAACAACGCTGGTGTTACTAGAAACAAAACAAAAAAAATGAGTAAAAGAAAACAATACAATACTTTTGTTATTTAAACACTGCCAGAATCGGACTACTTTGATTGCATTTCAGTGATGATCAGTGGTGATGGGTATCATTTCAAATGTTTAACCACCATCTAAAAAAAAAATCCTTTGTGCATTCAAGTTAGTGATTTTGTTGATGAGGATATGAGGTATTGTTGCAAATGTTTCTTTTTAGTGCATGTCCTCTAATGGTTGCTGCTGTTTGATTTAAGTTCAATCCTTAAGATAAGGGTCAAAATGGAAGTGTTCGATAGAGCTTATGAAGCAGGTCACCAAATTCTTCATTTCAAGTTTAAAGGATACATTGAAGCGTTCTATGTAGCACAAGTCAAGATGAGCTAGTTGTGGATACTTTTGATAAATTTTCATGAAAGAAAAAAAATTTAAGCATCAATAGTAAACAAAACATCTGAATAATTAAAACATCCTAACAGTAATTCCCTTATAAACTAGTATAATTTTCATGTCTTAAAATGAAATACAAGCAAAGTAACTATTTCTATAATAATCCTAATTTCAAAATGAGGGTGCCAACAGCACTTATTTAAGTTAATTAAATAGCATGAAGGGTCGCAGTAATAAATACATAATTCACCCTGCTGAACTCCAGTCAATTGTTTAGGCCTGACAAAAGTGCCAAGTCAGTAGGTGTAATACCAGAAGGGATCGTAGTAATTAATCAGTGTCAAATAGATATAAAATGACTGATGCCGTGAAGCATGTGTACTGTATGGGAGCTACAAAGGACACTCTCTGTGGAGCTGAGCAGTTACCACCTTGTTTTTATCATCAGCAGACGGCCATTAGTACCACAAAGCAGTGTTGCAGTTCAATCAAGAGCAAAATTGATTTCATTTCAATTCTGTTCTAGTGGCTTTTTAAAATTAATTTCTTCCAGAGCAATGAAATTTCATTTCCCCAGAAGGGGGAAAATTTTAAAATCATTATTATCACTATTAGAGCTTAAAGAATGAAAGAGAAAAAGAGAAATGGATTTTCCATCATATAAAAGCTTACTAGATACATACGGAGAAAGAAAAATAAATAGCCTGACTTTAGTCATATTTTCAAAGCAAAATTACATGAAAAAGATATGGATTTTTACAGTAAACACTGCCATATAAGTTCATACAGTAAAAAAATTGTACATTAAATGAAAGGGGACAAACACATTGAATTTAAACTTTAAAGTAAGTGTTCTCTAACTACTTTAAAAGTATTAATTCTGGGAGGATGTTCTGTTACTCCCAGAATGCTAGAAGTGCTCAAATGTTAACAGCATTTCTTCTGAAATATTTTTAGATCTAGGCTGTGAAGAAAATATAATAAAAAAGCCAAACACCAAACAAAACAAACTAGGCTCATTATTTTATACTTCCATTTTGCTTTTGGCCAAATGTACAAGTCTTAGTCTGAGAAATTCCTTATTCACACAACATCTTTTCTTATTTTTTAAATATCAAGTCTACCCTTAAGGGTGGAAAAAGAGATTTACTATTACTGAAAATATTCACACACCCGCCCCCATGCCCCACAATCTAGGCAGCTTAATGAAAGACATATTTATAATATTTTATTTTAAAAATCTTATCATATTAGTTTCTAGATACTAAAACAAGGCTTATATGTACAGTAAATTATTCTGAATACACTCTTGGCTTTATTTAATTTTATCTAATAATTTTAAAGCATATGAGTCCAAAGTTACTTTTAGTTTTAATTAAACACAACTACAGAGAACTCTTCAAACATGCCAAGATAAATTTGAACACCAAGCTATTCAAGTTCAATACTATGATAAAGTTTTTGAGAACATCACAGTTGACAAAATGGGACAACCAAATAAAATGGCCAGTAAATGCCTTTGGCATGATGTCACCCAAGGTGATTAGAGGAAATGAGATTTCAAAACAATGCATATTACTATACTTATTGGTACATTCAGTAAAATATTTACAATATGGCAAATACTACCATCAGATCAAAAAGGAGAAAGACAACTTATCATCTATTAGAGAACCCTTTATCACAGCATACTGAGATGTACTAACACAGATGTATGCATGAAATGATCTAGGAGAACAAAGAAGACAGCAATTAATTTTCTAAGGTGGCGGAAGATTTACAGAAATAAGCTGGGTAATGCAGAGAAAACTGAAATTTATCAAGTGAAAGAGGTCAAACAGCTTTCTAGGTAGACTATCTTAGACTAAGGCAAGGAGTAAGAAAAGATAGGAAAGTTAGCTAAAAAATGCATGGTCTGTATAAGTCCATATGAGCTGGAGCATATTATGGGCTACTGATGGAATGTAACACACTGGGACTGGAAATGAGGAAAAATGGTCCGATTGTAAAGGGCCATGGAAAGAAATTTGGATTTTATCCTGGAAATATTGACAGTCCAGTGAGGGTGTTTTTTTTTTAAATTAACTTTAGTAAG